AGCGTGTGGTCTGGCGCGTCGTGGCTGGGAATTTTCAGGGCTTAGGGTTTAGATTTTGGCCTCTCATCTGGACTCTTAAGGTCTGTGGAAGTGCAAGGCAGCATGGAGGAGCGGGGTGCTCGGTGGCCATCCGCACGCACACCCCGCCCCCCCCCCCCCTGCCAACACCCGCACACACACAACCCACATTGGGGTGTGTCTCCTGCTTGTTGTCACCCCTGAGCACTTTGCACCCGCTTGTGCGGCATGCAGAGCCACCGCAAGCGCAGCGCACGCGGTCACGCCCGCGGACGACTCCTGCCGCCATCTGCGCAGCACCATCACGCCCCACCCTTGCTAGCTATCATCTGTCCGTTTCTCAACATTTGCCTCGATTTACGTGCAGGTAATGTCCGCGAGCCTCTCCCGCGCCCAGGCTGTGGTGGACGCCGGCTCAAAGGCCGTCTCCCTCGACAGCGGCCCGCCCATCCTGGACCCCTCCTGGGGCCTCTACCCGCCACCCACACCCGGCGCCGCGCCCTCCTCGCCCGCGGCGTCACCTGCGGCGTCATCCGTGGCGTCACCCGGCGTCCCCGCTGACTACAAGTGCGCGGGTGACGAGCACGGGCTGCTGCTGTACCCGGCGGCCGGCGCCGTCGCCGCGCTCGGCGCCGCGCCGCCGCTGCCGCCGCGCGGCGCGCTGCTGCGGCTGCAGCCGGGGCACTGCGACCCGACTGTGAACTTGTACGACTGGATTGTGGCGTACCGGGGGCGGCGCGTCGAGGGCGTGTGGCGCATCGCAGGGCGGGGGCCGGGCGCATGATGGGTCCTGTGGGCTGGGGTGGGCCCAGGGCTTTTGGTTGCACCCGGCTGCCTTGCGCTGTGCACGTGCCGCATCCGTCTATTGTGGCTGGAGCTCATGCGTTCAACGTCCAGGGTGGTGTAAGTCAGCTGAATAACATCTCGCCCGGTCAGTTGGGGCAGCAGGGGTGGTGGCCCCGCTTCCTGGCTCACTGAGCAACTGGCAGTCGCCATGCATCCCCTCCAAACGCCCTATAACTGGACTGTATTGCAGTTTGTCTTGTGCCGTCAGAGTTGACAACCGGCAGCACAATCGCATGGGAGGAGCACTGCAGTGAGGCGCTCTGCCCGCCGGGACACGCCCTGCATGGGCTGGTCTGGCCTGGGCTTGGTCCCTGCAACTGTGGCGGGCGGTCATAAGTTAAGGCAGGGTCTGGGCCTGCTTTGAGGCCAAAAACAGAGAAATCCAGTGAAGCGATTTCAAGAGGAGCAAAGACTAGCAAAGAAACACAGCTGCAAACCGGACACGAATGCATCAAACAACAATCCCCCTCAATAAGTTAGCATGGGGTCAGCAGCGGCCGGTCACTCCAGCCGCCGTGGAAACGCGAGTCACAGCGCCGGCGCCGCGGCACTCCCTGCCACGGCGAGGGCGGCCGCGCAGACGGGGTGGACCGATCCGGTTTTGGCCCGGTGGGCTTCGCACAGCGACCGCTCAAACTCCTCGGATGAGTAACCACCGGGGCAGTCGTACCTGCCGGCGGGCAGTTTGTCAATGGGAAGGGCACAGGTTGCAGCTCAAGTTCTAGTTTGCAGTGTGCGTCTTACCGGATTGTCAATTTGGCGTGAATGGCGCACGGGTCAGCGGCGATCCCCTTGCATCAGGACGAAGCGCTCACTTGCATGCGGGGAAAAATCGGGGCGCAGGCCAGCAGACTCGAACCCGGGCCCCCAGAAGCGCACCATCGCCCGCCGTCGCGCACGCATCTCTTGGATCCCTCGACGGCGATGGTGCAGCTGCGCGTGGCGTTGCGCGCTATTGAGGCTGCGGACGTCGCGGCGGCGAGCTGCGTCGTCTCCTTGGCGCTCGATGCGCACGATGCTATGGCCGCCCGCGTGGCGCGGGGTACGCCGACCTGCGGTTGGGCGTTTGAGGGGGTTTGCAGGAGGCCTGGCGGGCTGCGGCGGCCGCGTAGCAGCACAATACCGGTTTGGTTCGCACGTGACATGCAGGCGCGTGTCAACCCTTCCTTACACACACACACACACACACACACACACACACACACACACTAAAAATTGTGTGCGCGAGCCTACCCACACAAAGGCGCGCATGTGTGCACGCGCGCGCGCGCACACACACCCACACCCACCCACACCCACCCACACACGCACACACACACACACACACACACACACACACACACTCTTTCACCCTGTCTCTGCCATCCTTTTTCCCCCTTTTTCTTGCTCTCCTGCGTTCCGACACAAAAACCAAACCGCGCTCGCACAGGCCCACCTGCTCCAGTGCCCATTCTGTTGCTCGAGTTGTCCACGCACTGTATGGGTTGCCGTAGAACATCAGCTGTAGGAATCCGAGCAGCCATTCCAGGTTCTTCTCTGCGGGAATGCTCTGCCTGCCAGACGGACATCGGCGGCGGCACGGGGCGCAGGCATGTTTTTCAATGTACAGTATGTGCGCATGCACTCACGCATTTGTGTGTGCGCGCGCAAAATTGGATGTTCGCGTGTGTGCATGCGTGCACGTGTGTGCGCGCACAAGTGCGTGCGCGCGACGAATGTGTGTTTCAGCTAGCTTGTGAGGGTCGGGGGGGGGGGGGAGTGCAAAATCGATGGCGATGTTTTGGGCGCATGTGGCTTGAGAAACAGAACGGCGGTGGCTCGAGGCGGCACATGGCCCTCGTGCAGGTGAGGATGCAGGGGCACAGCTGCCGGCGCTTCCGACTTGCAGCGCACGTGCCCGCGTGGCTGATCGCGGCACGCCTGCACCTGCTCTCAAATCGCCGCCGACAAAACCCTCGAGCCCCCACCTGACACACAGCTCCATCATATTGCCGCGGCACTCGAGCGGGCCGTGCTTGCACCAGAACACGTTGTTGGGCCTCACATACATGATGTACCTGCCCGGCAGAGGTTTTCGTGTTGCATGGCGTTCGCGGATGGGGCCCTTCCATCGGGCCGTGCGTGGCATCCTGCCCCACCAACCACCAAGCAGCGAGGCGCGCTGGCAGAGGTCGACATGCACGTCAAGCATTCGGATCCCTCGCCATGCAAGGCAACAACCTGCGTACGCTTGCAAAGTGAGCAGACTCACTCGTTGCTAAGGTGCACAATCGGCTCGAGCCTTTTGAGGATTGGGGCTAAGTAGTTCAAGCAGAACAATGCATCCGGGCACAAGCTCATGATGAACGTCTCCAGCAGCACCTTGTTGGCGGGCGCGCTGGGCGCCGCCCCTGGCGGCGCCGGCGCAGCTGGTACGGGCATCGGGGAGGCCACGGGGGGCATGTCAGAGTGGCAAGGGACGAAGGGCACACGCGCGAAAGGGTGCGGTTGCTGGCGTGGTAGCGGCGCTTCAGAATTGCTCAATTTCCCTGAAGGAAGTAGGGAGACCCTCATGGATTTGGGGTCCAACGGTGCAGCGGGACGAGCTGCGTGTGTTGCGCATGCCATCGTCTCTGCCGCAGGCCGTGCATGCGAACGCAACAGGCGCCTCACCCATTGCGCCGGCCGCTTGGACCTGCCCAGGCTTATCCATAGGTATCGCTTTTACCGCACATACCAACAAAATGGCAGTCGCGACGGCGGTAGCCGTGTTCAACATTGATTTACACGCGGTCTGCTCCCGCGGCTCGCTCCGTTGAACTTGCTCTCTGCAGGATTTTTTTAAATGGTAAACTCAATCACCTGCTGTTGTGCCTCGCATCTCCAGCCATTGCGCCCCGCTGCGTCCTGGTATCGTCGCTGCTGCAGCTGCTGCTGCCGTCCTGCTGGTGTCGCCGCCTTGCACTCTCAGCTTGCCTTCTGTAACATCGTTTCTAGGATCAATTGTATGTGGTACAGGTTTGACCAGCCAAGATTTTCCAGCCTGAGCTGACCAGCATATGTTTAGCTGGATGGGCATCGGTAGCTTGACCCAGGCTTGACCGTCATGATACCGGTACATGATCCCCAACCCGGTGGTGCGCACCTCTTTCGCAGCCTGCCATTTGAGTGGCATCCCCTTCACCCTCCCCGACGCGACCAACCTAAATCCAGCTGCAGCAGTAGAGGGAATGATGAACAACCTCACGAACGTAATCTGCATCACCTAGCAAGCCGTGTGGAGCAGCAACCCCAGCAGTACGGTACCAAGGAACACCCTTGACCGAGGCAATCCCTTACTGCACAGGTCCCTTGGGGGCCCAGTGCTTGGTAATCTGCATGCATGGGCCCGAACATCTCAACCTCCTTTGCTGCAGTCCGCCGCTTTGCGCCCACAAACCCATCAAAACCTGCTCTGCACAGTTTACACTTCGGCAGCATCCCGCGTCTGTTGTGTGCGCGCTGGCTCACATCATGCAGGCCTAGAATGGCCCGGCCTGCACAGCCGTTGAGAGCCGTGCACTAAGGCCAGAGCGTGAGATCAGCACATGACGTCCTATGCTGAGTGGTTGGAAGACGGGTCCCGTGCGCACAGGTCGGCAGGGGGCCAGGCCAGCTGCGCGGCTTTAGCAGCAAGGCCCACCAGGTCAGCATGGGCCAACACGCGCCTCGCGAGCCCCACATGCGGCGCGTGCGCGCTTGCTGCGCGGACGAACGTGTGGTGTTGGGCATGGTGGCACTGGGGGCAGGGCGGCGCCGCCTTTTGCGAGCCGCAGGGCTGATTTTCGCCCCTTTGCGGCGTGGGCGCCAGTCCGCGCATCGGAGGTTGGAAGAGGTGCTGCGGCAGCACTGCTGCCTGCGGCAGGGTGGTTGCCCAGCGGGACGCGTTCTGGCAATCCGCGGGGTGAAAAAGCCTTATTTTCAGAACACCTGGTTAACACTTGTGCTTGTTGGCCGAGACGCCTGGGCAGTAGCGGGGCACCCGCCCAAAACAGGAGGTGATGCCGTCGCTGGATGAGTCGCACCAGGTGCAGCTCTCAGCGCGAGCGATCCGGCAGATGACGCCCTTCGGACCCGTGCCCCAAACGAGAATCATCTCTCAAACTGCACATTCTTCTCGCCTCTTGAGTCTCACGTCACTAATTTTGCCAACAACATAATCGCTGGATTTGGGTTGTCCTTGTCTCGTCCACACCCAAGAGTCAGTTTTCGCCGCGCCACACTCAGTTGGTTGCAGTTATAAATTCTAAATTGATAGCGAGAAGGTTATATAGCTGATTCAAGGACAAGGACCTCCCCCCAGTCAGACCAAGATTGTGATCCGCAGCAATGGGCAAGCCCCCGGAGGAGGTGCCGATTGATTGTGATGGACTTGCCAGCATGACGCACAAGCTCGCTGGCGTGAGGCTCCAGGCGGTGAGTGGACTCCGGTGCCCGCCCGTCACCAGCCGACTGACTGCGACTGGGCCGGCGAGGGGGCCACGCGCCAACTTCGCCCGCGAGCGCCCGGCGCGACGCGCCTTTGCGATGACGGCATCCATCTGAGTGCGTTGGCGCATGCCGGTCGGCGGCACCGGCGCCTCGGCCGCCCCGCGTGCATGATGCCGCCACATGCGCGCGGGGCTGGGGTGACAGGGTGGCGCCTTCCAAGCCCCAAACCTCCGCTCATGCCACGTGGCGGCGCCCAACTCTCCCTTGCGCCACGGCCCAGCGCTCTGCCACGTATGCGCCGCCCCAGCCGCCGCCCGCCCGCGCCGCCCCCGGCAGCGTGCGCGCCGCCCTGCCACGGGCGCGCCGCCACCTGGCGCGTCCCGCCAGCGCGCCACACGCCCGCCAACCTTCCGCCCCCATGCCGCGCCCCGCCCCGCGCCGCCCGCGCGACCTGGCCCCCAACAGGAGTCCCAGGATTCCTCCCCATTT